CTCTCTTCATCTACCCTAGTCTTCTCCTCCCCTCTCCTCTCTTCTCTCTATATCTCCCCTTTCTCCTCTCCTCTGTCTTCTCGTCTCCTCTCTTCTCTCTACATCTCTCTTTTTCTCCTCTTCTCTCTTCATTTTTTCCTCTTCTCTCCTCACCTCTTTTCTCACTTCATCTACTCGTCTTTTCCTCTCCTCTCCTCTCTTTACCATCCTCTTGTCATCTCTCTTCTCTTTTCATTTACCCCTTATCTTCTCCCCCTCTTCCCTCTTTTCTCATTTGCCCTCCTCTCCTCCCAGCCAAACTCTTCTCTTCTCGCCTCTTCCCTTTTATCTTGCTTTCCCTCTCAGTTGACGGACCAGGTATACCCCACTAATGTCTTCATGCTAATCCTTTCACTGATTTGTTTGTTTTCATTGTTCTTTCTCTTGGTGAGTACTCATTAAGGGTAAGCCTCAGTTTGTTAGGTGAACAGTATGAAGCAATGGGTGTTAAGTGATTTATATTACTAGAAGCATTATGTTTTTGTAAAGATTGCCCTCATCGAAAACAATAATCGTGTGCCTCAGTATGGCGTTAGTGAAATATCATCACAGTTCTAAGTATGGCAGAAGTGACATATCTCTTCCTCTTTAAGTATAGGTGCCATATCCCTTCGATTCTACAATTGGTCTAGGTATAATGATACGAGTCATCAGCAGTGTAAATAAAGGTGATTTAAACAGTGAATTTAATAAATGCCCCCTTTTGGCACTGACTTATTTGGATGGCCACTGACCTGTGAAAGCAACGATACGGCCACCTTGTTTGCTTATCATTATTCCAAATGAAGATTAAATGTAGACAATGCCTTCTGGGTGGAGTCACATAACTTTCAAGAACTAAACCAAGGTATTATCAAACCAGGTAGAATTTTGTAAAAGTTTAGTGGGACAATGGTAATCGATCTTTCACTGCACTCTTTTCTACGATATACGCAAACTTGGAAGGATATACGTGTAATTGATGTATTTAGCAGAATTAACACATTACAGTCACAGTCAATAGTCGCTAGGATGAACTGACTACATTACAAGAACAAATGGCGGTGCTGTTCCTCGCACACTTACGCAAACAGCTTGACTTTAATGTTCCTTTGTCTCGAAATTCCTGTTATGAGAACGCTTATAGCCAAGCTCCTTATCCACTTATCGATCTTTTCTCTTCTTCTTTTCCTTCTTCTTCTTCTCTTCCTTTCTCCTTCGTCTTCTTCCTCTTCATTTTATCCA